TTTGAAAGGACAAGATTTTTCAAATCCTGTTAAAAAATCCTAGAGCAGCGGAGGTTAGTGACAAAAAAAAAAAATGGGTCTTGAATCATAAATAGCGCCACACACTAGAGATAATAGGTTTGGTAATACTGGAAGAAGCCTGTAGATTTCCTAGGAGAGAAAACGACAGTTTGTATATGACTCTTGCCTTGGCCATGTTGGGATAATTAATTTATCCTGGCCACATCTTGCATTATCTTTATCATCATGTGTATGAGAAAAAAATTGTGGAAAGACCTGGAATGGACCTGTCCTCCCATTCAATTGAAAAGTGCCTTATATGGGCAAGCTGCTTTTTGCCCTGCTCTCAAAAAAAAGAGGAGACACTTTTCTACGTGACATATGCTGGCAGAGATCTGTATCTGCAAACCCCTACAGGCCAAGGAAGTTTAGTATCACTGACTCCTTTAGTGAGCATTCATGTAACTGTGCAAGAGCTCTGCTGATCTGATCTGTGATGCTTTTGTTCTGGCCCCTAAGGTACAAAGCAATTAGACAGACATTGTGCTGAATATAGGCATCCCATAACTCAGTTGCTTTCTTGTGCAGCTGAAAAGAGGGAGGCTCCTCCTGCTTGTCATCAGGTTGTCTATGATGACCAGTGTTATTTTACTCTTGGCATGAAATAGGGAAGATATGAGCTTGATGGATAACACTTCCCCTCCAGTGTGATTAATGATAAAGCTCTCCTAGAATATTGAACAAGAACCAGTGACCTTTTCCAATATATCATTATCTTTCTCTGCCTGCCCTATTCACAAGGGAGGTCTTCTACTTTAGGCTTGGTTTCAGAAGGAAGAGGAGCAACCTCAAACATGCATGTCTGAGAAATGTTAGGACAGATTGAACCAGTTTCACTGCTACCTCTATAGCATAAAAGGAAGCTCTGAAAGCATGTTCTTCCACTCCCATCTTTAGCTGCCAAAAAACTGTCCAACTTTGTTCCTTGGAAAGTGTTTACTTAACCAAAAGCAATTTTTTTTTTGCAGGAGAAAAATATATTTTTTTCTGATTGTCTCTTTTTTTTTTTACTCTCCTTGTCAGAAGGGCAGCGGAATAAGATTACCTTCTCTGGAGTGGTGCTGCAACTAATGAACTGGAATATGGATGTTTGTGAAAGTAGGATAATCCCTCATGTGGTATAGGATTCATCATCAACAAAGCATCAACCTTTTTATTTATGTATTTATTTTTGCAATTTCTTAACAAGGACTACACCGTACTGTTTTGGAAGTTGACAAAGTTCCTCTGTACTCAGGAGAGAAGCTTTATTCTTTGAAGGGGGACACAAAATATTAATATCCAAGGTGAGACGTTTCCTTCAAAGTGACTGATGAAAGTACAAGACTGCAGAATTGCAAAGCAAGAAATAGCAGAAACACCAGCATTTTCATCTGACGACATTTCAGCTCTCATTTATAGCTCTATCTCCTTATATTTTATTTGGACCGCAGACTTCACTCACCTCTCCCCTCCTGAAAGAGAGTCAGGCACTAGAGAGAAAGGATGCTCCCTGAAGTAGAGAAAGGATGCTTCCTGAAGTTAGGCACAGTGGGTGCATACCCATGTCTTAGGTGACTTAAAATAAGTCGCCCTAACTAAATTGCCTTAAGTTAAGCCTTTGTCAGAGCGTACACACTTACAGCTCCTTGACATGGTGACAGCTTCTCCTCCAGTAAAGCTGACTTAACTGATGCAATTCAAAATAATACACCTTAGAAGTGTATTATCTTGCACCACATTTAAGTTGACTGTGTTCCACATACTTGTGTATGCTCTGATAATTAAGTCTACTTAATAAATTAATTTGACTTGACTGTCAGAAAGTTAGTGCATGTGTGTATGCACCCAGTGGCATGTTGCAGAAGTTGTGAATCGAAGGTAAAATTGTTTCTCTTATCCTCCAAAGGAAGCCAAGAAAGATGCCTAGGTAATAGATACAGATACTTGGCTCAGCATAGATCCTGCCAATCATGTCACGGGCTAATAATCAATCAGGATGGGATTATCTGTGTACCCAAAAAGCAGTTGTATAAATTTCCTTCTGAGACTGAAATCTTGGAGAGGTGTCAATAATTTTGATTGCAGATTCACAACCGGAGAATGAATAGAACCTATCATTTGAAGAACAAAGAGAGAGAAAACAATTTTATGAACTCCCTTATAAAACTGTTTTGCTCCTCTTTGATCTTCAGGTGTCTGGTTCTGTAAAGTCTCCAGTTATCTGAGGGTCGCCAAACGAGGCTGAGAGAAGCATTTAGAGCAGCGCTTCCCAAATGATGGGTTGCGATCCCAAATAAGGTGACAACATCAGTGGATGGGGTTGTGGCATGGTGCTTTCTCCCATGCCAAGTCCTGCCAGGGCTGTAGAGGCCCAGGGGAAGGGCAGCAGGGTGGGGAGCCCCAAGCCCACAGCAGGCAGACCACATCCTCCCCCTCCATGGGTCCGTTTTGGCCATGCTGCCCACGAGGTAAGGGAAGACAGGGGTTGCGGGGTGGGAAGCCAGGCACCGTGCCATAAATGGGGTCATGCTGAGGAAATGTGCAGGAAGCACTGATTTAGAGAAAGGTGGGACAAGTCTGTGCAACTTCTTCATTTCTCACAGCAGTTCCCATAGGTGAAATAAGTGAAAAGGATGACCCTCGGAGTGCTGTTTTGTCTCCCTGCAAGGCAATGCATCTTAGAGATCCAAGAAATGATATGATCAAGGGTGCATGGGAACCAATCCTGTGACATCAGAAGCTGAGCATACTAATGATGGAGTTGCAAAGAGATCTGGATCTTTCTTCGAATCGAGCATGGCCTTGTGAGCTGGGGGGAAGAAGGAAATTAAGATCCATTCATCTGCTTTAGTCTGAGAGGCTTAAGGAATCCCCTGGATGCCAGTTCAGTTTTAATGGCAGAAGTATTTCAATCCCATAGTCCTTTCTTCAGAGCTGGGGCAGGCAGATCTGTTGGCTTTCCTTGAAGATTGAGTGTGATCATGGGCATCTATGCAAGTGCTGCAAAGCCAGGTCTAATGATCTCAGAACTGAATGCAAGTAGTCTGGAAATAGATCCTAGATCCAAAATTAGGACATCCTGTGTTGTGTTTTTTTTATTAAGTACCAGAAGCAATACCAGCCTTTTTTTCCTGACAATGAGATCCTTCAATGGTGCCAGATCCCCCACACTTTTAGCAAAAGCTTGTTGAAGCAATACATTTTTGTGAACTGTTCTAATGTTTCTTGCTCACCCATAGTTTATAAGTATTGCAGGTTTAGCATCTCAGGAGCCCTTATTGGGGCACATCAAATATTTAGTATGGGCACAGAAGCATGGGGGGTCACTGAACAAGAGGCATGCCTTTTAACCAGATCCATACCACTTTTGCTGTACCATGTTACCGAAGACCTATCTGTATAAACTATACTGTTTTTCTAAGCATACCATAATAGCCAAATTACAATAGCATAACAGTGACTATGAAATAATAAACCAGCCTTAAGCTACAATATTACAGTTAGTCTTTGAAGAATTGGTCCAAAGGATCCAAAGTGGTCCGTGTTTGATTTATGTTGTAGCCAGAAGGAACTGGGATGGAAGAGGTTGCTTGGCCACTTTTTATACCCTTGTCTTCAAAGGGGGTATGACAATGATGGAGTGCTCTAACACAGGGTTGGGCAATTACTGTGGATGGCAAGCCACTTAATGAGTTTTGGCAAGCTGTCGAGGCCGCACGCATAAGATCTTTGAGAAGATCTCATTTGAAAAAACTATAGATAAAAAAACCAAACCATAGACTAAAAATGAAACATCTACTATAGCATATTTTAATTGTATTGCAAAAAGTAAATTTGATAATAATTTATGTTTTATGACTGGTGCATATTGAGGTGATTGCTTAATGGCTCAAAATAAAGTCTTACTCTTGGATATTGTGTGTCTGTGAGGGAGGGTGGGTGAGTATGTAGGGGCTGGGCGTAAACTTCAGCATGGGGGAGGCTAGGTCCCGAAAGCAGGTGAGGGGTGGGGGTAAGGGGGAGAAGGAGTGGGGACAGAGGGGCACTTGCAACACAGCTCACCTGGGTGGTGTGGGGCTGTTGCAGGTGTTGTCCACCACCCCCATCTGGCCTGAGGCTGCCCCCACAGAGCTCTGCATGGGGCTAAGTCCCACCTACTCCTGCCCAGGGCAGCCAGCACCATGCTCTCGCCCATACCCACCTTGCCCTGGTCAGTGCACACAAGCACTGTTCAGCACCCCACTGTCCCCCAGGTACTATTCAGCTCTCCCCGTCTCCAGCAGCTTCTCCTCCTGCCCCTGCTGTGCCACTCCAGGCACCTTGCACCCACTCAGCTGCTCATTGTGCCAGGTCACCAAGTGGGTGCAAGACACCCAGGAGCCAGAGCTCCTGGCTGGGTATGTGGTGCTTGACATGTGCTCCCACTTTCATCACCACTTCCTTCTGCTACTGGCTGCCTGGAGTAGTGCAGTAGGGGCAGGAGGAAAAGGAGGAGGCACCTTTTGGAGGTGGGGGGAGCCAAGGACTACCCAGAAGGCTGCAGCGGCAGGTGGATCAGCCCCTCTGGGAAGTTGTGTGTGCTGGCCAGGTCTGGGGTGAGTGTGGGCTGAAGCACAGTACAGACTGCCCCGGGAAGAAGCAGGACAGGCTTGGCCCCATGCAGAGCATCACCGGGGCAGCCATAGGCCAAATACAATCAATTGGCAAGCTGGATCCAGCCCATGGGCCATGTTTAACCGCTGCTCTAACAGGAACTGATATGAGAAAGATCCTTCATCTGAGCTGTGGCAATCAGGGCATCTCACATGTGGGAACATGCAGATGACACTTGAAGAAATTAGGGTCACAAGTGTTCATGTAAAATTAAAAGACATATTTTACTAGACACATTTCCCACAGCATCTTGGTAAACTGCCAATGGTTTCTGACAAAATGTGGGTGAAATGTTGGATACTTACTGTATGAGCAGCCATAGACTTCAACTCTCAGCCCTATTCTTCCATTGGGATTCCACTTCAGAGGGATGAAGCGCAGAAAGCGGGCCTTCATCGAGTGCAGAAATTTGTGCTCCACAACACTGTCTGCATTGGTATTCCCTACGAAGACCTGCCAGGAAAGAAAGTCATTATGAGTGAGTGGTGAAGCTCATCTGGTAAAGGAACATAATCTAAGCAAAGACTACAACATTTCAAAGACCTGGCTCAGGGGAGGTCATCATCCAAGCTTTTAGGACCTAAGTGGAGCATCTCCAAATTATCTCCATCTCCCAAGTCTGGGCTGGGAATATTGTAGCATTCCCTCTTCCTCCAGTGTTCCATTATTCGTCAAGTATTCCAGCAATTTCCTCTCTCATCCAAAACTGGGACTTGCAGCAAAAAAGTTGTGCAAAAATGAAAATGAAAAGTTTGATACTTAAAAAAAAAAAAAAAAAAAAATCTCAAAAAGGGCCACATATGCAAAAGAGGAGACTCTCACATAAAACAGCACTTATTTTTCTCCAGTTAAAAAATGAACTAGAAGTTTTACAATTATGCTAGGGGCATATGGTTGTATTATTCAGTTTCAGATTGAAGAAAAACATAACTTCACTGGGATGAGTTAAAAATAGTCTGCAGGGCTGTGAATTAGGAGCTTCATTGCCAGGAGAAGCTAACAGACAGCAGAATTGCAGAATAAAGAATAGCTTAATTGGTGGAACATCAAAACCATTAAAAAGAAAAACAGTTCATTAACACCTCTGGAATGAAGACTTTAGAAGGAATCAGGTAGATTATAATGAGCCATGAAGTCAATTGACTCCCTCAGCTCTGCCTGACTAGAAATGCTGCTGCCACTGCCACACGGTTGGTTTTAAACCTTGGGTAAAGCAGGAATCAAACGGGAGTGCAAGTGCATCCGTGCATCCCCCCTGGATCCGCCCCTGTTTCCATCTGATTTTCACAGCTCTCCTGTTCAATGCTGGGTGCAATTTGAGCTCACACTGCAAATGTGGACACAGGGCTGCACCCCTGGAAATTCTGATTTACGCTTTGGGTTTTTATTTTTAATTTTTTGGTGGGTGGACGGAAAATATGGGCATGGATGTTTGTGAGTGCTACTGGTATCCCCAGAACAGGAACTGCATCCAGAGGGTTTAGCCCAACTCTAGATACAGTTGTGTGAAAGTTCCCTTTCAGAAAGTTGCTATTTTACCCAAACTAGTGTCCCATTACATAAATGAGGCCAACATGATAAAATAATATCTGGACCCTTGGTAATCAATGCTCATTCTCTCAGGATGGTTTACTGGCATGTGATGAGGGCAGGGGTGCTTTATCAAACAGGTTCAGAAAGTATCACAGGCAGAATAAACATGGGACTCTCTAAGAAATGGGTGTCAAAGTTACACCAAGGCCCAGAACAATGGGGATCCTCCTGGACCAGATCCATGGAGCTAGTGGAGGCCTGGGGCTGGCAGCAAAGGTCTGGCAGTAGTGGTGGTGGAGGTCCAGCAGAGGTGGGCCAAAGGGACAGTGGGTCAGGCAGCCCCAGAGTGCCTTAGGGCAGTGTGTCACAACCCCTGCTCGCTCTGAACATAGCTATGTTCAGCAAGGACTCCAAATATTGAGGCAGGTCACAGCCCTCCATAGCCACAAACCCGCTTTCCAGTAGCCCAGCGGGCTGGATGGAGTGGCCCTGTTGGCCGCATGTTTAACACCTCTGCTCTAGGAAGTTCTTGAGGCAGACTCACCCCTCACCTCTTGTCCTGGACCTCTACATACCACAGATCTTGTTTTCCTCCCACAAAACAATTCCCTGAATGATTAACCCTTCTGAACATGACCTCTATTTGGTAATTAAAGCCCTTCAGTATGTGGGGAGTGGGGTTGCTCCCAAGTTCAAAGCTAAGTCAAGAAAAGTAGTGACCAAAAGTCACCAGGGAACTGCTTTCCAGCTTGGGAAGTGGGCCACAGTTTGAAGAGCGCCTCATGTGACCATTCAACTAGGAACAGACATTACACATAAACCGGTTTAAGTGATCAGAAACTGGTTTTAAACCTGTAACAGAACAGATGTTCAGTGCACATAAACACGGTTGAATGTAGTATCAAACTTAACTGATTTGGGTCTGACCGGTTTATGCAATGTCTCTCCCATACCCCATCTGGTTTAAATTAAATCAGAGTTCCCCAGCATCCCAGCATGCTCTCTGGGCTGGGTGGGGCTGTCTTCCCCAGAGAGCTGAGCTGGCCCTTCCCCTCTGTTCCCTGGCTGCAGCTCCGGCAGAGACTGCACACACAGCAGGGTCTGTCTGGCTTCTTCCTGCTCCCCACTCCCCACTCACTGCTAAGCAGGGACTCTCCCTTCCCCTCTGCCTTACAGAGACACCTCTCAGCATTAGCTAGCAGACCACATGCTGGCTATGGTCTGGGCTGTGGCAGACATGATAAAGGCAGACAGGACAGTGTCGGCTTAGGGCTTTTTGGAGCTAATCAACAGGTAGCTGGAAACGTCCCTCCATTCCTTCCATGGAAAAGCTGTCTAAGAAGAGCTTGAACTAATGGAAAGAGTTGTTTTTTTTTGTTTTTTTTTTTCTGATGGTCTGACAAACACTGAATTAGGGGTGATAAACACTGTATTATCAAATCCCTGCTGGGCTGCTTGGGGTGGGGTAACCCCTCCCTAATCAAAGAATCCTGTTGGGGCCTGACCATGTCCCTCCCCCACAGCTCAGCACTGTAGAGGGGAAGGGACAGCTGTGCTAGCACCCCCTGGCTTCTAGCCTGAGCCACTGCAAGCATGTGCCAGCATTTCTGGAATGAAAAGGGAATGTCTTTCCACCTCCAAATCAGTTCAAGCTTTGCAGGTTAGACTAACCTGCAAAGACTGAATCAATTCAGGCTCAAGCTTTTTTAATGTCTGTCCCTAGCCTTCAAGACATTTTGCACCTGTAATAACAATTGCCTAAGGCATGCTGTAATCTCACTGGGCATGGAAAGTCCAATTCAGTGGAGGATAATATTAGATTCCTTTTCCCCCTGTAGCAAATGAAGTTATCTTCCTCTTCTGTGCACTTGAACATGTCAAAGGCTAAGTCTCAAATTCAGTTCTAACATTGAATATGATATTGCTGTCCCCCTCCCCCAAATTCCACCTCCTGGAATTCTGTGATGGCATAATGACATTGGTCACCTTTAAATAAAACATTTCCAGTCATCACGGTTGGCGAGATATGAAAGCAATCAAAAGAGACTTTTAAAAAAGTATAATAATCAGAAGCTAACAAAAAAAGAACCCCATTTTTTCCATCCATGTTTTTAAAGAAATGTCAGGATTATTTTGGTGCTTTACTTATAATTTTAGAAAGTATAGGGTTGGTAATACTATACTTTCCATCACATAATAACTGCTTTCTGGATGAATATTTTCAAAGACATTTTTAAGAAAGACATATAAAGAAAAATCCCAGAAACAAGATACAGTCAAGAGCAGAAATGATCTCCTGGCACGTTCTGAAAACTAAGCTACTCACAAATACCATCTATTTCTTGTTCAAATCATTGGCTGTGGTTTCAAGAATAAGATCCACATATTTCAGTCACAGCACACTTGTTATTACTGGAGTGCATGCAGTTAGCAGCTGGAAGCGGAGCCAACTGTGTGCTTGGCATTGTAAAGGCAAGGCAAGGAAAGGCAAGGCAGGCCTTACCTTAATGAACTTATACTCAAACTGTAGAAAACAGAGGGAGAAGTATAGGGGATAGAGAGGCAGGGTGGTTGTTTTTGTCTGCAGGTTCCTGAGTATAGATTGAGGATTCCACCCTTCAGCATCCAACTTTGAAACTTTTAGCATTAGTGGCATGGCAGTATCAATACAGGAGGATTGTTCAGACTCAAAATCCAGACTCCAAATCATCTGACTCCTAATTCCATGCTGAACAACAGAACAGTCCTTCCCACACAGAAAATGTCTTCAGCTCTGTGGGCTGAAACTAAAACATAAGGAAAAGCCTGGCATTTTCCCCATAGTCATCAGCAGTTAATTGATCTCTTCCAGCTGTAGGTGCAAAGAAATAATCAATGCATTAAAGAAAATGAAATAAGGATGTAGCAGCAGATTCCTTAGCCCCACGGCTTAAAATATTGATCAATATTAAACTTAGGGAGGGAGGCAGAAATAGCTCTGTTTGAGAAAGTGCTACTATTACAACAGGTTATTGATTGGGATTAATCCTCAGGAATAAAACAAAGAAAACAATGCAGAAAACAACAACACACCCAGTTGCTATTTCCTGTGTAACACAGTTGATCTCTGGGAAGAAGCATACAATTAGGCATCTTTGGTTCCTTAGAGACTCTTAGATGGCAAACACTGGGGGAATGATTGTTCTAATACCATTGGAGATCAAACAGGTCCCAAGCCAGAGTCACTGGATGCACAGTGGCATGTCACTGGTTACATTGGCATGAGCCACCTACTGTCAATGAAGGGAGAAGATTTTGTAGGCAACAGGCCAATTTGTAGCATCTGATGAAGGAGGTAGGTTGTTGCCTACAAAATCTCATGCCTTTCAGAACCAGATAGGCTCTAAGGTGCCACCCTGCCCTGCCTTCTATCAGACTTCAGACTAACATGGCTAACCACCCTTCTGTGGGCAAAACTGAGTCTTTTATCTACATTTATACAAGGCAAATGGAAAATGGAAGACAAGATGTCAACCCCAACCTATGACTTTCAAACCAACCTTATGCGTGCATTGGAATGTGATAATGCTGTGATATGTACCATCCTGCCATAACATTTGAGGATGGAGCTGGGCTGTTCTCAGTGGGGGCAGATGACAGAACAAGGACCAACAGTCTCAAGCAAGGGAAGTTTAGGTTAGATATTAGGAAGAATTTTCTCACTATGGGGGTAGTAAAACACTAGAACAGGTTTTACCCAGAGATGTGGTGCAATCTCCATCCTTGGAGGTTTTCAAGACCCAGATAGACAAAAGCTTTGGCTGGGGTGATCTAGTTGGGGATGATCTTGCTTTAAGCAGGGGGTTGGACTAAATATGACCTCCTGAGGTCCTTTCATTTTCTATGATTCTATGATTTGGGTGTTTGGCATGTATTTCCTC